GATCGGGCAGTGTTTCGTTCTGCTGTGCATGGGGTCGCTATGAGTCGGAAACGACTCGACGGCACTTAACAACAACAACAACAACAACAACCTCATGTACAACACGATGAGACACTGCCTGGTCCTGCACCATCCTCACAGTCATTGCTGTGCTTGCACTCATTGGCAGCCACTATGTCAAGCCATCTCATTAAGGAGTTTCCTCTTTTTTGCTAACCCTCTTCTTTACCAGGCATGATATCCTTCATGGACTGGTCTCTCCTGACAACATGTCTAAAGTATGAAAGGCAAAGTCTTGCCATCCTCACATCTAAGGAGCATTCTGGCTGTACTTCCTCCAAGACAGATTTATCCTTCAGTCTAGCAGTCCTTGGTACATTCAGTATTCTTCACCAACACCACAATTCAAATGCATCGGTTCTTCTGCGGTCTTTCTATCTATTGTCCAGCTTTCACGTGCACATGAAGCTGTTGAAAAGACAATGAGTTCAGTCAGGCACATCTTAGTCTTTGCTCTTTAACACTTTAAAGAAGTCTTTAGCAGCATATTTGCCCAATGTGATAGTCCTTTGGTTTCTTGACTGCTGCTTCCATAGATGTTGATTATGGATCCAAGTAAAATGAAATCCTTGACAACTTCAATCCTTTCTCCATTTATGAAGATGTTGCTTATCGGTCTACTTGTGAGGATTTTTTGTTTTCTTTGTGTTGAGGTGTAATCCATACTGAAAGTTGTAGTCTTCACTCTTCATCAGTAAGTGCTTCAAGTCTTCCTTACCCTCAATAGGAAGGTTGTGTCATTTGTATATCGCAGGTCGTTAATGAGTCTTCCTCCAGTCCTTATACTGTGTTCTTCATATAATCTAGCTTCTTGGATTATTTGCTCAGCATACAGATTGCATAAGTATGATGAAAGGATACAGCCCCGTCACACGCATCATTCCTGATTTTAAACCATGCAGTATCCCCTTGTTTTTTTTTTCCAAGTGACAAGACTTGTCTCAGACCGTGGTTTCTTTGGTATGATATAAAAATCACGAATGACAAAAGAAAAAAATAGATAAATTGGACTTCATCAAAATTAAAAACATTTGTGCTTCAAAGGACAACATCAAGAAAATGAAAAGACAACCCACAGAATGGGAGAAGTCTTTCCAAATCATTTATCTGATAGGGGATTTATCAAAAACAAAACAAACTCACTGCTGTCAAGTCAATTCCAACTCATCACGACCCCTCCTTGGGTTTCTGAGGAGTATCTCTACGGAAGTAGATTGCCCAGTCTTCCTTCCAGGGAATTTATATTCGAATATATAAAGAAATCTTACAACTCACCAACAGGAAGATAACCCATGTAATGTGGAGGTTGTTTTGACAAATATTTTGGTGTGTATATTTTCACCACAATAAAAAAAGACAACCTAGTTAACAATGGACAAATAATTTGAATAGATGTTCCTCAACAGAAGAAAAGATACACAAATGGCCAGGAAACCTATGGAAATATGCTCAATATCAT